TCTATGCTTCAACACTGTACACACCTAAAAACGTCACAACCAACCTCATTGTTTCCTCATGGACCATGTGAACACTCTTTGGCATATATGTTCAGAAATGGGACTGCCCATAAATATACTGAGAGAAGGCATGACATGAACTCTCCAGAATTAGCACACCTCCATCAGGACATGAAAACCCTCACCTATCCCACCTCCCTGAAGACACTAGGCCTCCTCAGCATTTTGTTTGGCAAATTTCATGATGTAATATGCTACCTTGTTTAATTTTGCATTTTTAGTTAATAGTAAGTTAGGATATAACTCATATAATATGCTTACTTTTGGGGGTTTATCAGCAGTGAACAAAAGTTTGCATTATATATTTATATATAATGCAAATTTTTAGTTTGCATTATATATAATGCAAATTTTTAGTTTGCATTATATATATAATGCAAATATATATATATATATATATATATATATATATATATACCCATTTCATTTTGACAACTGCAAATACTTTCTCAACTGTCCACTATTACTTTTGCAGTATATACTTGGTGGTTGCCATGATCGCTTCCTCACAAAGCTAACCGCTATCACAACCGCTCATATTTTTATATTGATTTCAACCAACTCTCTTCTATACCAGTAAAGACTGAGGGCAAAAGTAAAGCCTAATTGATTAATCAATTAGAAAACTTCAAGTGATGTCTTACATTTTACTGTTCAACACAAGTTTTTACTTTAATCAAATAATCAGGAGATGGTTCAAGTTGGACTGAAGGACAACAACCAGCTCTGGACACATTTTCAAAAAGGAAGTTGTTTGTTTTTCCTCAGTATTACTCATTTACCTTCTCTGCCCAGTAATCCTGACATTTTGCCCAATTCCTTCCCATTATGATAGCTGAGGAAGTTTATATGCCCATTTCTATTTTGGGTCCAGTCCAGCAGCAAACCTGCCTCACAATTTATAGTGGTAGGTTCAAGTGTTTCTTAATAAAATTTATATTATATTTATATTAAAATAATATATATTTAACATATAATATATTATGTTAATCACATATTAATATATTATATATTAAAATAATATAAATATATTATTTGTATTATATTAGAGAAAACTATTTTTCCTGAAATATGAACCAATTATAGTGGAGACAAAGTACTTGCTTAATACAACAAGAGTATATGATTAATAAGAAAGTTGTAGTTTTTACCACATAATGAGGTTGATAAGGCTTGCCAATGGAGAAAGGAAGGAACAATTTTCAGAGTTTTGCAGAAAATGACTTAATAAAGAGAAAATCTATGAATCAAAGACAACAAAAATTTAAGGCATCTAACTCAAAGGAGGAACTAGCTTGGAGTTAGGAAAAATTCATTACTCCGTATTTTCAATGCCTTAGAGCCGTGGTTTCTTCTCAGACATTTTTGGAACCACTCCATGAATATGACTACCATATGCATAATATAAGCTGAACACATGGTGAATTAATGAATGGATGGACAAATGAATGAATGCGTGAACTTCACCAAGTGGAAATCCTTGGGGAAATGTCCCACATGTTGATTATTTAAGGGCTATTGCCATGAGATATCATGATTTATTAAGTGCTCCTTCTTTTCACTTCCATGAAAACTCTGAAGGAATATATTTTTCTACTATTCAGCTGAAGATGAGAAAGAAAACTAGGGAACTTTTCCAAAATCACTCACTTAGCCAGCAGTGTATAACTAACTGGCACTTTGATTCCTGGTCCGTGATATGAGAAAAGTACAGGAAGGGTGACTCAGATATCATTAAAATCAAAATAGTACAAAGTTTAACAAAATAAGGACACATGTAAGAAACATGAATGAAAAGAAATAAATCAATTTTACTGAATAGTCAATCTCAGGAATAGAAGAGGAAGATGAGGGAAATGAAAATCAGTGGACACTCCAACACCCACCTCCAGGTCAGAAGCTTTCAGCCACAAACAAGAGGAAACCCAGCTGGGTGTGTTGAAATGATCAAGGAAGTGAACTGGTTCCCCTCCCTAAGAAATTCAGCACCCATTCAGGCTTCAGATACAGTTCAATCTGGACTCTAGTGAGTCAGTTCTCTGCCTTCTTCATAGGCTTGATTTTCTGAAAAAAATGACTTGCACTAGTGCATGCTGTATATCCCACCTCACAATACAGAGAACAAGAAAAAGTATCTCTTTCCCTATTATCAAACACAAGCACCAGACTTCTTTTCAACTAAGCTACCTTATAACGAGTGCATCCCTGACTCATCTGAGCAAGGGTGAGAATTATACATGACTGTTTTAAGTTATAGACTTATTATAGTTTGGACACCATTATAATGAGGCTTAGAACCTAGAATTTCATATTATTCAGGTAGGGAAAACATTGAATACCTCTTATTGTTTTACTAAAATGAAATACTCCTTATAATAAATTATTTTAAATATGTATGAAAATATTTTAAACAGATGCACACAAAAAGGGATTGGGTTTTCATCAATTAGGAAAAAAAACTAAGAACAGCAGCTCACAGAACTCTATCACTGTATTTACCCTATCAAGGTAGCATCAGCCATGTTGACTATAACTTCCATTAATAATCAAAATGTACTGTAAAACATTAGTTACTTTGACCCCATTTCAATCCTAATGAGCAGTATATTCTTATTCTCTTTTTCATTCTCTTCAATTATATAACAATGCTTCTCAAATTTTAATGCATTGTGAATCTCCTGCTGATTTTGCTAAAACATAAACTATAATTCAGCAGTCCTGGAATCACTCACAGATTCTTTACCTTTGACAAGCTCCAGGGTAATAAATCTGCTTCTTGTCCAAGAAACACACTGAGTAGCAAGGGCCTGCGTTCTGCCTAACCCTGGTTTTATTCTAACTCCCTCTGTAGTTGGATAATAAAAGTAGTAGGAAGCAACATTGTGTTTCTTCATGGAGAATCAGAGAATAAAACCTGTAGAACTAGAAAAATGTGGAGTCTCTTGGCCATGTGAGAAGGTTTTTAACAAAAGCAGCATCAAGAATCTCAACTACAACACAAGCATTAGGAACCGGGAGAATTTTTTAAAAGATCACAAAGTTGGCATAAATTCAATACAAATTTTTATGGAGAATGTGTCACATATAAACAAAACAATTCACCAAGAAAAGAGTTTTTTTTAAAAAATGACACATAATTTCCTTTCAAGGTTCTGGAGAATTGAAAGGGGTAAGGGTCCTACAAAACTTCCAAGGAAAGTAGGAAGTAAAGCACACAGTTAGAAAATATAATTGAAATGTGGGGGACGTCAGACAAAGGAGATACTGCTTCCCAGTGTGGGTCAGGGGAGGCTCTCTGGAGGAGCTGGCATCAAAAATGTTTCTGGTGATCCATTAATAATCCCTGAACACTGTTCCACTCAGGGTCAAAATTTGAATTTTAAAATTTCAGAACTCCACTCAACATCAAATCCTGCAAAATTACATCAGATTATATCGAGAACTGATCATTAAGAAGTCATTAACACCATCAAAGATTTCACAGGAAAAGTAAAAGAGATGTCACCATCATGTTACATTCAGGCAGAGGATCAGGTCTGGACACAGGCTGAGCATCTGGGCAGCTGGTCCTCATTTCAAAGGGGGAGCACTTGCAGAAGCTTCACAACGCGTCCTGTATAAACCAGATGAAAACAGAGAAGGAGGTGAGACCTAAAAAGTGAAGAGAAGAGGACTGGGGTGGGGGGATAAGGAGAGAGAAAAAAAGAGATGAGGAGAATACACAGTTCTCAGATGGAGAAATATAAATGGAAAGTAAATACATGAAAAAATGTTCATCATCATTACTCATTAGAGAAATGCAAATTAAAACAACACTGAGATTCCATCTCACTCCAGAAAGAATGTCCAGGATTAAGAAAACTACCAACAACAAATGCTGGAGAGGATGTGGAGAGAAAGAAGCTCTCCTGCACTGTTGGTGGGAGTGTAGACTGCTGCAACCATTGTGGAGGTCAGACTGGAGATTCTTCAAAAAGCTGCAATTGGAAGTCCCATGCAATCCAGCTACTCCGCTTCTAGGCATATTCCCAGAACTAAAAACATCATACCACAGTGATATATGTACATTCATGTTTATAGCAGTACAATTTGTAATAGCCAGATCTTGGAAACAACCCAAGTGTCCATCAAGCAAAAAATGGATAAAAAAGTTGTGGTATTTTTATACAATGGAGTACTACTCCGCTATAAAGAATGATCACATTGAGATATTTATAAATAAATGCACGCAACTTGAGACCATACACATAAGCAAAATAAATCAAACTCAATTGTATAAATACCATATAGTCTCCCGAGTATAAGAAATGGTAAGAGCATATAAGACTTTATGGTAATCATGATTCCCCATTCCATTGCTTTGAAGCCTTACGATGTTGGCATTCATTAGTTGGAATGATTTTATCCTGTGATTTTATTATCTGTGATAGTATGAAGAGCTATTTTGAAGAAAATAAGGCATTATAATAGCCAGTACTGATTTAATATCCTACTCGGAAGTCCTAACATGCTTTTGTTCTTCTGTTTCCATTGGTTCTACCATGTTGTATCTTACTGAATTTTATTATGTGTGATAGTATAAAGAAATTTTCTATGGAAAATGAGATAACAGAGTGGCCATTGTTCATTTTTTGTGATTTGGTTCTGCATGCCCTGTAATATTTTCACTCTCTTGAATGGTTTTATACAATTTTGTTGGGTTTGATACTACTGCATATGAAGTTATGCTCAACTATTTCAAAGAAAAAGACATTATGGTTGTTACTGTTAATTACGAGTTGTCTTGTGGTGAAATACTGTGTGGCATGAATTGTCCTGTTCTGATTTGCTTTGTTATGTCTTCTTTTGTCTTAATCTCTTTAAAATAAAAAAAAATTTAAAAAGAGATGAGGAGACAAATTGATGGAGGCGGGGGAAGAGGAAAGACAGATGGAAAGAACTCACCAGCACTTCCCAAAACAAAACACGAGACCTGTCAGAAAAGCCAGGGCCACTGTCACGGCCACCATGATCCAATCCCGGGAACTGTGATACTCTGTGGATTCTGTGGGCAACCAAGGGTGTTATTTCAGATTCATCTCATTTTACCCTAACCCTTCTATTTCTGAGGATTAGCCTAGGTTACTTTTATTCAACTGAGTGTCCACCACATCATTCTCTTTTTTCCCTCTTCTTTTCACTCATTCTGTCTCCAGTAACTGATCTTTCAACTACCTCACAACATCCTTCTGCATCTATGAGTCCCTCATTTTTAACTCTCCTATTCTTTGGATTACATATTTGTTTTCTTTTTGGACTTGGATTCTCTGAAATCCAAAATACTTTCAGCTGGCCCTCCTCTTTGTTTGAAGACCTCCTCTTCCAGTCTCCACCTGAGCCCCGTCTTTTCTCACCCCAGTGGAGGACGATGTCCTGCCCTCCCAGGCTGCTGTGCTTCACTCGGCAAGACAGCCCAGCAGCCTCCTCAGCTGCAACATCCAGGGTCGCTAGAAGATACCACGTGTCATCAGCATTAGGCAGGACATCCCTTCTCTGAGTTTCAGGCTGCTCCTGCTCATTCCGCATCCACATCACCCACACAGGCTTTGGATGGAAGCCAGAGACGTGGCACACCAGCCGCAGATGGCCAGGTCTAGAGCTGGGTGCACTGGACAGCCAGACATCAGGCCTTTCTACAAAGGACAGAAAGATGTTTAATTAAAGACTGGAACAGAGACTTAGAATTCAGATCTCCATGTCACAGATAGAAGTATCTTTCCTGCTTCTGGAAATCTGGCGTTAATAGTTTTCTATATTTTGATTCTTTTTTATCCTCAAATAGAAAGAGAAAGCATGATTGTGTAATAGAAAATTTTTGGAGAAAAGTTATACAACTGACCTTGTCTCTGGAAATGAGCCTTCCCGGCATCAAGAAGACTCAAGATGAAACGAGGGCAGACATCACTGATTAGCCTATGAATTAGTCCCTTGACTCTTCAGTGATGACTGATTTTTTTGCAGACAGCCTGAGCCTTTTGCCCACCATTTGGAGATGGTGACGAGGAATTGTTTTGCAAGCTCAGAAAATCAGATCCTTGATAAGCTATCTGGTAGAAACCTTCTATAGAATTTCCAGACTGCAGCTCACAGCCGGTTGCCAACTGCAATTCAACGGGGTCTCAGGAAGAAAGGTTATGAATTAGAAGGAAGAGGACAAAATAAAGCGAGTGGCCACAAGAAACAGAGGAGAGAATTTAGGGGGTTGAAAGGAAAGGAACATCAGAGATTCAGAGTAAAAGAAATTAGTAGGGGTTGGTGGTGGAGGAAAAAATTAATATCATGAGGAAAGGGACCAATTCAATGAAGGTGACATGAGTGGTGGAGGAGGATTTAGTGTGAGAGTGCTGAGATCATAATAAGCTACGTGGATGGGGTGCAATGTTTACAACAGCTGCACAGAAAGAGAATGCCAAAGAGATTGAGTAGGAGAAAAAAATCACATTTTAAGGAATCAATAACAATGAGAAAACTGAAGATACCTAATCAGAAGCTAAGAGAGTGTGACCAAAGGATATTTGTGAGGAAAGACTGTAAAACACAACCCCACAATCAATGAAAGAAGTGTTCCAAAATACCAGCAGATCAAAGTTTTTGATGAATCATGGACTGTGTTTGAGCACACACCCAGAGTATGTGGTTTTACATTTATGCTAGAGAGAGAGAGGAGTTAAGATGCAGAGTAGTAGCCTATTCTTAAAAGAATACAAAAACACATACACTCCAACCCCTCCCTCCGTTCTTTCACCCAAGGAGAGAAGAACTGAACTCACATTTAAATTGAAATGCAATTATATCTGTACGAAATGCAACGAAGCTCCTTTGAATAAACTTTTCCAGTTTGGGCCACTCCTTGCTGATATTGCCTCTGGACCAGGGATACAAGAAAATTATGGTTCCAGAGCTGCTGTTCCATCTGTGAATCTGCAAGTCATCCAACCATCCTGAAACCAGATGTTGTGCTGAGGAGTGGTTGTAAAAGGATGAGGTCCAGGTAACTTGGAAAGTGACTGGTGCCTTGATCCTTGTTGGGAAAAAGAGGCAGAAAGATAGACAGACATTCAGAAGGAAAGAGTGAGGAAACAAAGGTATCACAGTAGAACTCAGAACTATCGTTGTCTAAGCAAGACATTGCTGCCACAGGGTCCCCTGGTTTATCAATCCCTTTTAGAAGAGCACAGAGACCTAAAGTCAGAGATACTCACACTGGAACTCTGAGTGTGCAGGAATACTCAGCTGGCACTCTTATTTCCCAGATATACATGAGTGGAACTACCAACACACACACATACACACTGTGCAGTCATTGAAAAGGTACAAGTTCTTACCAGCTTGATTGTCACTGCCTGCGATGAAAGCAGCATGCAACAGGAGTAGCAGAAACAGCATGGCACTTGCAGACATTGTTAGTTTCTCTCAGAAAACCTGGCCTTTGTTTTCTGTTCCAAACAAACCTACTCCCAATATTATGCTTCTGACTTCCTTCTCCAACTAATAGACAAATTTGTTGTCTAAGACAAATAAAATCCGGTCCTTCCCAAAACCTTGAGCCTCCCACTCAATTGCTCATTTCCTCTCTGCTTCTGACTCTTCATTCAGGCTTCTTCTCTCTTGGATACCAACTTCCATTCTGCTCGCGTTCCTCTAGTCTAATTACTATGGACAAGAGTTATGTGCCCTTGAAAAATTACTTTATAACTGGGGATATTTTATTTCAAGCTGGAGAAAAAGATCGAAGTGCATTTGCTAATTTTCTGTCATCTCACCCCTTTGAATTATTTCCCTTTGTACTGTTTTTCCTGCCTCATCCTCTGCCCCTCCAAGTCTACATCTCTGACTTAGCACTATTTCCTTTATTTACATCATTGTAATGTAAATGCCTCTCCAGCATTTGTTGTTGTTGGTTTTTAAACTAGCAACACTTAATGGACATTTGCCCAGTAAGATAGTGAATTGGCTTAAGGTTTAGTTCTGTACTGTTATTATATTTAGTATTATATTTAGTACCATCATTGTTAGATCTTGAGTTGGCTTACGGGTTAGTTCTGTACTGTTATTGTACTGTATTCCCACACAAAAGAGTACCTGTTGAGTTGAGAACATTTAGATTTCTTGAGTGGGTGCATGTATTCAGCTTATGCCGCTAATTATTATTTTTATTTATAGAGGGCATCTTCAAAATAAAATTTATAAGGAATAAAGTTTACTTGTAATCCCATATAAAGAAATGAAAGTTGGGGATATAGCTTAGTGGCACAATCCTTGAGTTGGATTCCTGACCCAGAAAATTTAAAAAGGCCAGAGATTTAGCTCAGCAGCACAGCACCTACCTGGCAAGCCCGAAGTCATGATTTAGATCTGCAGTACCAAGGAAGAAAGAAAGAAAGAAAGAAAGAAAGAAAGAAAGAAAGAAAGAAAGAAAGAAAGAAAGAAAGAAAGAAAGAACCTTAGTTTTATTTAGGGTACTAAATAAAACTAAATAAAGATAACATAGAGGTACTGTAAATATTCTGTTACTTATATACCAATTTAGTGAAAACTCATGAAAGATAAAATTAATGGGGTATTCAGAAGTCTGTTATCCAGGATTCCCTTCTCTAATTCCTACTTGAATGTTCCATGGCTGTCTCCATCTGAAATTTGTTTCTGTTGGGTAAGTTTGCCTTCCTTGATCATGGTGTTTATAACTGTGTAAAGCTCTGAAATAGTTTCATTATTTCTAGAAATATGTTTTTTCTGTTTATTTGTTAATCCATGGTTTAAAACAAAATAAATTATTCCAAGAAAATTTAGGAAAGAGAATAATTTTTTGCAAAGTTAAAATGAGGCTGCATAAGTCTGAGCAGCTAACTTTTATGAAGCAGGGCTGGTGATACAGCTTAGAGGCACAGTGCCTGCCTGGGAAGTACAAGACCCTGAGCTCAATTCCCAGAAGCAAAATAACAATAACAATAATAATAATAATAATAATAATACAATTTAAAATTTTTTAAAGAGAAAAAAGAAAAATCAAGAAGCCAACAAACCTAAAAAACAACAAAACAAGATGACAACTAACAATAGCTATACAGGTTTTCAAAACAAGATGAGTGGAATTCAATGATGGCTGTTAATAGTGAATATTGTTAACTTCAAAATAGTTGTTCAGTTTACTAGAAACAGGAATAAAACAAAACAGTAAAATGGAACAAAACACTAGATTTCAAAAACGAGACAGAAGGAAATGCCCTACAGTTCCCACAAGGCACACTGCCATCCTCCAAATATGCCCAGACTACCAGCTCCAGGTCTGCAAAGCTAATCAAATATGAGCATCAAGCTATTTCTTTCACCTCAGTTACTATCATCTCACTCTGAGTCCTCCAAATCAGCCAGTTCCTTAACTGAGTGAAAGGATATGTTTTTTCTGGTTTCCTAGCCAGCACACCAGCTGGCTTCACAGGAAGGCATGGCTGGTTTTCTTGTTGAATCTCTTCCCAATTCCCATGGTGAAGCCCCCCCCCCCATGAGAAGGCATGGTTTGTCTTCTTTCTGAGTTGCTTCTTGATCCCCATCGTGGAGCCTGGATCACAGGTAGATGTGGTTTGACTTTTTGCTAAGTCTCTATGTGGTTTGTCTTTTTGCTGATTCCCATGGTGGGGCCTGGCTCAGAGGAAGACCAAAAATAAACGTTACGGTACATACCGGTAACCTTAGATGTTCAAGAGGTTGAAGCAGAATGTTTATGAGTGTGAGACTCACTTTGGCAGCATTTTGAGACACTATAAGAAAAAAGTGTAGTGGGGAGGAGAAGGAGGAGGAGAAGAAAGAGAAAGAGGAAGAAGGAGGAGGAGGCTATGGATAAAGTTAAAGAAGGCTTAGGAGAAAGAGGAAGAAAGAAAAGAAAAAGGAGGATAAGAAGAAAGAAGAGGAAGAAGGAGGGAGAAAGGGAAGGGAAAGAAACTCTGGGAAGAATTTCACTTCCATACTTATGGATTTTAAAATCTGGACAATCAAAATCACAACTTATGATTCCATCAGAGATGTAAAATCTCAGGTCAACCTTGTAATTGAAAATGTAAGGAAAAATAATATGAAAACCTCTTGCTTCCATGGAATGGATGCAAATGTTATACAATCCACCTGGAAAATTTCAGATGAAATTGTCAATCAATTACTAAAGTACAGGATGTGTATATGGAAACCCTGGCATTGACATACATCGTGTTAATGTCTGGGCTCTTTTCCATGTGTCTCACTAGGGGCCTCTGAAGGGTTCGGGTATGGGAGTAGGCCAAACAAACACAGTTTAGGATGCAAGCCTGAAGTGTTACAGCAGAAAAAGTAGGAAGTTCCAGTGAGATCTTTCTCCTCTACTTTCCACATGCATGGAAAGCTTTAATCTAGTAAGGAAAAGGGCAAAAAAATCCTGCTTCCCACCCGTTACAGGAAAAACCCACTGCAGGTATAGGCAAGGAAAAAGTAGAAAGGGATGAGAAAAAAATCATGATTCTAAACTACCAAAAGTCCAAACTGCTGGAAGAAATGTAGGAACAATCATATGATCCAAACTTTAAAAATTCAAAAACAAGCCTAAGAATATGGTCGAACCGGAACAAAAGTCAATGGCCCTACTCCCTGGTCTAAGCAGGCCACAAATATCAAGTAACAAGATCAGCCTATTGTTGGAAGATGGGCAAGATGGGTATAAAGAAGAATGAATTCCTATCACTTACAGTCAAATCAATGTAATCATAAGATGGCATGTTAACTGAAATAAGCCCGATATACAAAGATCAGTACATTATGTTGTCTCTTTTCTGTGAATGCTGGAAGCCGTTACCCAAGTCCTAATCCTGTGAGAAACCAGCTACATACCTCAATTCTTTGAGTCTTTGATGAAATATTTGTGTGGACAAGACATCTAGGCTGTAATAATTGGTATAGATAGTTTATTGCAAAATGGTCAGCATGCAGAAAGGAAGAAAGAACACATGTGCAAGTACTTGCCCTGGGTGAGGTCTCAGGTCACATTCATATGATTACCTGGGTCTCTCAGGAATAGTCATTCCTGCCCCCAAGGTCACTGTGCTTTCCCAAGAGAAAGAGGCTGTGTTTACTTATGCCAGAGGAAAGTGAGCATCTGTTTACTCAGTACATGGATGTCTTCCATTTAGTTTTTTAGGAGGTTTTGTTGTTTGTTTGATTGTTTTTGAGACCTTAAGGTTTTTTTTAAACCCTCACTCATGGTCCGGATTTTGTATGGGCTTAACCAAGGGATATAGCATTAACAAAGTAGACAAAAAATAATAGCAAAACATAGCTCTGTACTAGGATCAGAGACCAAAATGTCAAAAAAAATGAAAGTTTTATATTTTAGTACCATTTAAGTACCTTTTTTTTCCCTTTTGAACTCAAATCTGTTATGATATGAGCTTTTTGTCCTCCCAAAATTCATCCATTGCAATCTTCCAAAATGATATTATTAGGACATGGAGCCTTGAGGAGATTAGGAACTGAGTTCCTTGTCTTCATGAATAGGACCAGTATTTTTGTTTGTTTGTTTGTTTGTTTTGTTTGTTTGTTTGTTGTACCGCAAATCAAACTCATAACCTTGCTTGTCAGGTAGGTACTTATGCCACTGAACTAAATCCCTGTCCTGGAGTCTCCTGGCCCCCACCTGAGGTCACTTCCAGATGATCTGCTATATAAAGCAATATGGATCCCCACCAGACACCAAATCTGCTTTGGTCCTGGACTTCCCAGCCAGCATAACTATGAGAAAAGAATTTTTGTTGTTCATGAGCCATGAAGACAGCTCTCTGAACATCCAAGAAAAAGCTGCACATTTATATTTTGCCCTGGCCCCCACAAGATATTTTTCCTACCTTCTTGAGCACATAGTAGGGAAAGCATCAAAGACACAACACACAACTGAGTTTCAGTGGGAAAGAGAGCAAATAGAACTAAACAAATAACAAATGAAGTTCTGAGACATTTGGTCCCAGAAGATATTCAGAGGTGATAAAAAACACTCAGGGAGAGACACAACATGTGCTAAATAAGAAAGAAGGGAGAAGACTGGGGAAGGCCGGAAAGAGAAGAGGAACAGACCTCCCTGGAAACAGCTGATTCTGATGAGGAACACAGGTAGCTCCTGGTGCATGAGTCATAGTCACACGATGGGACTGCAGACTCTCAGCCAGCTCTGCCCTTGAGTGTGTACTCAGCTATGGTGGATGAAGGACAAGACCTGAAAGATACAAGACAATAGAGAGAGAGAGAGCATCCCCGTATCCCACTCCCCACTCCCCAGGAGCAGAATGAGCAATCCTGAGAACTGAGGAACTGACACAGAGCAAGACTACAGGAAAAAATCAAAACATAAATAGATGTGAAAGATGCCCCCAGAAAAAGAGAAAACACCTGAAAGAGCATATGGTTACACAGGTCACTGATAATTATGTGCTCCCTGGTCATAGAAAGACTGGGAGGAGTAGCCAATTAAAACTGAGCTAAGCAAAGTACCATCTAAAGAGAATTCAGTGTTTTTCCTTCTGTCCACACCCTTCCTCTGTCCACATCCCTTTTCTTGAATCACTGGTACTCAGGCCACAATCATACTCATGATCTTTTCAAATATCTTATTTTTTTTGCTCCTGTAAACACCATCATAGCTCCGAGTTTCTCTTTCCTCCGTAAAGTTTTCTTCATCACCCAAATGTGACTTCCCCTTCCCACATAGCCTTACACCCTCATGTGACTTCCCCACTTCACCAAAAGAAACCTCATCCTCTCTGCCACAAAAAGTAACTGCCCACCTTTCCTAACCACATCTTGTACCTGGCTTCTCATATTTCCTCCCACACTGCCTGTTGTAGTCAGAGTTTACAAGGGGATGTACTTAACACAGGACACATAATTAATAAGGTTATTATATAGCATCGGCCCAAAAAATCAAATACAGAAGAGTGTGAGAGATCTGTCCACACACTAGAGATCCAAAGAATACAACTGATAATACAATGAATGGACCTGTGTAGGTCCATGTGAGACCTAGAGCCCATGGCAATGTCACCCACATGTCCAGCTGGAGGCCTAGAGCCCATGACAATGTCTCACTCGAGTCTGTATCAAGAATCTGCACTTGGAAGGCCCAAAGGTCAGTGGTGGAAGCTAGAAAGTCTGTGCCAGTGGGATGAAAGATCTGTGCCACCAGGTTGAGGGATATTCTCAGGAGCCAGGAGACAATGCCAGGAGTGCCTTCAAAAAGAACCACAGTCACCCTCAGTGACAGCAAGGACCTGAGCTCCTCCAGTAATGAGGATATCTGAGTTCATATCAGAAAAACCAGTGTGACAAGCTTCTCCAGCAGGATCAACAGCACACCATTTTCCCTTCCATTCTCCTTTTTATGTTGTTAGCGATGATCCTCAGATGGGCATTTCACACCCAGCACCATGCTGATTCAGTTCAGCTGGGTGTCACAAGTTGATCATCAGCTAATTCACCACACTGCTTAAATTTGCCCCTCTAGCTTCCTTACACCTGGCCTGTGTGTCTCTCATAACAAATCCCTCACTTTCCCCTGCTTCACTATAATTTCCCACTTAGCCTTTATCTCAGCTTCCAGGCCAGCTTTCCTATTTGCATGCTCCATCATATTCCATTCAGTCTAATCTCAGTTCTCACTCCTT